AAATTTTTTTTTTTTTTTTTTTTTTTTTTTTTTTTTTTGCAGAAATAACCGAAAAAAAAACTTCTTTAATAAATTCCTTTACCAAATTTTCTTAATCCCTAATTTTCTAGAAAATCAATTTTGTGAATAACAATTAATCCGAAATTATTCAACAATTTTTGATTAAAATCAATCACCGAAAAATTCATATGATTATCAATATACATGCTTTTCTCAACAAAATAAAGCATATCATAAATTCCGTAGATTAAAGAAAAATCATATGAATCAATCAACATGATGTTCAACCGGAGATATTGGAGATGAAAATTCTCTCAATAATTTAATGTGATGACCGCTCTGATACCACTTGTTGGATATTTAAATCGTTATTCCACATTCCAGGAATCATCACACCAAATTACTAAGAAAATAGGTTAGAACAAATACCTGTCTCCATTGATGCAGCCTTAATCTCCAGTAGAAATCTCTAAGACAACGAGGACGTCGAGTTATTGTCTTCCTCAGTCAAATCACCAGATTCTTGAATGAGTTGTTTTCTCTCTAGATGGGGAAGAAGGAAAACGGCCGAATGATTTGACGTGTTGGGGACCATAACCTAAGTTTCTTTATATATTGTCCCATTAGGCTCCCATTAAACCTAATTGGGTCAATATTGGGTATCCACTCATTTAGCCCATACCCAGTTAAGAGACTATTGAGCTCTCTATAATTAGACCACTTAATTAACCCAATTAATTAAATAACGTTAATATAAGGGAGAAAGAGAAAAATAGGCAAAGACTTGAGATGAATTAAAATTAATAGGCTAATAATTTACATAAGTTAATAAATATGCAAAATTACTGTTTTCGTCCATAACTTGTCTGGTTATGAACCATAACTTGACAACTTATTGTCCATAATTCACGGTTTTTGTCCATAACTTGTCTGACTATGAACCATAACTTGACAAGTTTGTCCATAACTTATCTGGTTATGAACCATAACTTGACAAGTTATGGCCTATTAATTTCTATAACTAAAAATTGACCTATATACTTTCTTAAACTTTTTATATTGACCTATTTTTTACTATTTTTGTTAATATAATTGTTATAAATATGTGCCCATAATTATTAGTAAAAAATATAATTTTCTAACAGTCTCTCTTCTCTTTGTTGTCGTTTCTTCTTCCTGCTCCTTGTCATTTTCCATCTCTGTGTGGTCTCTTCCTTTTCTAAACGTTTCTATGTTGGTTGTTTGGGAACTTTTTTTAGTTGTTGCTTTTTTGACATTCGCCGACTAATTTAATGCTAATCCATAATTGTCGCTCAATTTATACACTCCCTTTAGCCTTAGTACTGATTGTAATTTGTAACCGATAATTGACTTCGCTCTCTAATCTGATGTCAGAAGAAAGCTTTCGATATAAAAGATTCAAACGACGTTTCTTAACACGGATGTCTGCAAACTATTAGCGACAAAGACTGTCGTTCAACATATTTAGAAAATGAAAGGCTTTGATGGTAAAGGCATCGAATATCGAATGCTGTTATCTATTCATTGTAACACTAGTTCTTGAGATTAAGATAATAGCAAGAAAGCATTTGAAACTGCTAAAAGCGTTACCATACATGAAACTGCTAAAAGCGTTACCATACATTGCCAATCTACAAAACTGTTCAGCTTGAAGAACACGAGACAAAAACCCAACCAGGATTCTGAATTATCAACAATTCTACACTCAGCTTCTAGAAAGAACAAGAAGAATACTAAGCACTACTCTACAGTATTGAAAGAACACCAGAAATAGCAAACAAGAACTGAAAATTAGCTGATTGTCTTGTTGCCACAAGTATCCAGTTCATAAGGCATCTCAAAACCGAAACGTAGTCTCTGATGTTAGCCCTTTTCTTATACTACCATCCATGTCAAATGCCTGTAGCCAGCCCACTTAGCAGCAATACGGATTCCAATGGCTAAGGCAACACCGAGCAACGGCAGTGGAAGCTTCCTAGCTGCTACTACCTCTTTTTCCTTTCCTTCTCGAAGTTTCTTTGAATGGTGAGAAATAGCTAAAGCCAAATACGAAGCCATCGCTAAAACTCTAACCCACGGTTCTCCAATAGCAGCGAGAACAGCAGCCACAGGCAGTGCCGCTGAAACATCATCCCTCTTTTTAACAAGTCGCGAAAAAGTGTACAACCCCACTAACAAAGTCCAGAAGAAAGGTTCAGAGATGTAGCCTCTCACGGCTGCATAGCCAATTAGGCCAGAGATGGTGAGAATATGAGGTTGACTGCTCACTGAATCTGGAACTGTGGCTTCTGCAATGGCAAGAACAGCTGATGAAAGGATAATAATTGTCGTAAGCTCTGGAACTGGAGCATACGCAACAATGCCGGAGTAGTAAGCTCGAACGGTGTACAGTGCAGTCTCAACGCATCTGATTAGGGAAGTAATTGGATCCCCTATGAAATGGATCATAAGGGCTAATAAAAGTTTCAAGAGGTATCCCGCAAAACGGACAATCGCAATGGCAGCCTTTTTCCAGTTATATAATTCGAACAAAACTGTTCTCCATGCATAGATAAGAAAAGCCACAGCTGAACCAATAATAACAATTATATTAGGCAATTAATTCCAATACATGTACAGTTTTTTGGTTGCAACCTTTATATTGATACGGGTGAAAAAAATTCACTAACATAACCACCAATCTTGAGATGTTAATTGGACTGGCTTCTCTTAACATCGAGAACTACCGAAACATCCAAGTTTCATCAGAGCCACCGAATCTACAACCCAAGATGGTCACTGTAATTGTGTCACTCAAATCATACCTTTCTTTCCTTCCAGCAAAAAGATAATAAAAAGTCATTGTTTTCAATTTCTTGGTTTAAAGAAACGTAACAATTTTTCTTCAAGATCTTCGTGAATCGCAAATTTCCAACAAATCAAACTTAATCAGACATTGTTTGCCACATTTAACAATGCAGATTAATATGAAACTAAAAATTTCCCACAAACTCAAATTTCTATCCCGAAGAATTAAGGCACGCCAAGCAGAACCTCATAACCTCAAGAATTTATGCACAATTTTGTCGCCCAAAATTTCCTGGAATTCACTAAAAAAATGTGGATTAATGCAAAAAAAAAAAAAAAAGAAGCCGGTCAAGTAATCAAGTACCCAACAAAAATGGCAAGAATTTCTTTCTTGAACTCGCAATCAAATTACTCACTTGTAGCACGCATTCTGAATTTATATATATATATATATATATATATATATCTAGAGAGAGAGAGAGAGAGATGCGACTACCTACAAACCAGGGCCATCTCAAGGGAAGGTCAGGAGCTTCTTCCGTTAAGTACCTGAAGCGCTCGGGCAAAGTACTTTCCCCTCTAGCCTCTTTCTCGCCTTCTTCATCAATTTCATCGCCCTTATCATCATTCTTCGCAGCCAAACAAACCCAAAACTTTCTTCCGAACAAAAGTTCTGGTCTTTTCCCAGAAAATCCGTCGAGATTATCAGCCGATAAGGGATTGAAGGATTGAAGTTTGGTCGGAGAAGACGAAAATGTGACGAAGCGGGAACGGAATCGAGTGGTGATAGGAGAACGGCAGGTGAATTTGAGGTTGAGAAGAGAGGGGTTCGGAGAGGAGAGAGTATGAACCGTCATCGACATGGCCTGGCTTGGGTTAGACGGACTTTACAGAGGTGCAGCCATTATCACTGTGAAATTGACCAATAAACTTTTTTTTTTTTGGATTATTGTGTCCCTCAACTTCGGGCTATTCTTACTTCGCCCCCTAAATTTTGAAAATTCCTACTTTCTCTTTTAAATTGTAAATTATTCTCACTTAACTTCATTTGTTGTAATCTCAATTAAAATTAGACGGAAAAAGAAGGGATTAATATAATCATGTGATTTTTATATATTTTTTTAACAGAAAGAGTAGGTGACTGCTTTATTCTCTTTTTTTTCTATTTTTATTATAAATTACTATAAAAAGGTTAAATGGACACAATTCAAAGTTTAGGAGTAAAATAAAAACTTTTAAAATTTAAGGAAATTGAGAATAATTTTAAAGTTTATGGGCATTAGTGATAATAATTTTTTTTGAGAGAAAATGTAAAATCGGACTTTGGATCTTAGAGGCCGAACCTCTTTAATGTACAAGCCGTGAGCCCAAAAGGTACCAATAACGGTCTCCTCAAAAGCCCAATATTCAGCTTCCCTCTTCTAACTTCTTTTTTTTTTTTTTTTTTTTTTTGAGAAAAAAATATAAACTTTGTGGGGAATAAGAATAAATAGCAGATATTTTTTCATTATTTTGTTTTGCTCAAGATATTTTTTCATTATTTAGTTATACAAAAGTAAATACGGGATTTGGAAGATTTATTGCATGGTCAACTTTGACAAACTTATATTTATTTGGTTTTACCTCGTGATTAAACTTGGTGAATCCATAATTTATCAAGTTTATCTCATTTCGAATTTAATAAATACGAAATTGAAACTTGGGATTTACTTTTCTGAAGCCTTAAATTATATAAATTTTTTGTGAATATTTTTATTTTTCATTAACATAATATTTATTAAATTGTCTTAGTTAATAAACTCACTTTTTACCCTTACAAATACAATCTTCTTTTAAAATTAAATACAGTGTTTATTAATTATCATAATAAATAGGTTTTTAGGGGTTTTTTACACGCCTCTTATGTTTTTTTTGAAGGACACTCCTCTTATGTTTTACTAAGATAACAGTGACACTCTTTGATCAAAACTAATTACGTCATAATTACATCGTAATTAATTCTAGTGTTTTTACATACATTGTTCAATGGAAGAGTATACTAGCATGCATCGTAAAGATTATATATAATCCTAACAGTTTTTTCGTAATTAGATTCTTTGTGTTCAAATCTTTGTATCTTTCATGAGAATAATAAATCTGAAGAAAATGTGAGCTCACTCACTATTTAAGACTGACTTTATCTTTAGATAACTCTTTTTGCACATTACCCCTCTCTCATTGTCATAATATTAACAGAGTCATGATTTATTAGTAGGGGGTCAATTTATTTTTTATTTTTTTTATCAACATTATACTAAGATGTATATACATGTAACAATTTTTATTTATTAAATATATAGAGAATTATTAATTTAAGAAGAGTCAACTCTAATTTATATACATACCTACTATATTAAAAAAAAATTTTAGGGGGGCAGTCTCCGTCACTGTATTAATGTTTCCAAAATCTTATGGGAGTTGAAACAAATTTAAGTCAAGAAGGAGTGATTAGCAATAATATACTTAACTTACTTATCTGACTATATATACCAATTTTTATTTTCTATAGTTTTATTATGAATGATATCAAAGATTGAACTCATTAAATTAATGTATCGTTAATAGTTTTGTATTTAAAGAATGCAATATTTAATAAGTTTTATTGGATACAATAAGTAATAAGTTTTACTGGAAACATGATTTTCAAAATAGAAAAAGTTTTATTTACTGACATATATTATATTTTAATTTCTTATTATGATTAAATAGAGAGATTTAACATATTTTCTAGTGTTTGATGTCGTTCAACAAAGTATATACCTGCATGCATTATCAAAAATCTATAATAATTAAGGGTTTTTCATGTCTGAATTCTTTGTCTTTAAAACTTATATCTTTGGTGAAAACCTTTGAAACCACCATAAAAACACACACTCACTTACTTTTTCCTTGGCTAACTAATTTTGAAAAATATTTCACTCTCTCATTCTCATAATTAATACATTAGTATTTTCAAAATTCTATAGCAATGAGTTTGAAGCAAATCAAAATGTACCAATATTATTGTAGCATCTGCATTTCTAGACTATATGTAATCACATAAGTTTTATTATCCATTTATATGCACACACACAAACATATGTATATACCCCTACACAACCTATTGATCATGGTATTTGAACATTCCTTGTCTATATAGATTACCTATCTTATTTCTTTAATTGTTACGGGTAAACAGTGCATAAACTGTATGTAGAAAAAAATAAACGACTAGACAATAACACCTAATTAGGATACTAACTGCATTCAAACACACAACATATATAATTATCAAAGCAAGAAATCATTAGAAGAAAACGACTAAATGGCAGCAAAATTAAGATACTTGAATTCAAATACACAACTTATAAAGCAATCATATGTAGTTAACCAACATGACTAAGCGCGACAAGGGCACGCTAATTACCAGCAACAAACACAATTATAGGAGTCCTTAACGAAAATAAAGCAGAAAACAAAGATAATAAATTAGTCTCTGCTACTTATTTAACCAAAATTAAAAAGTCTTGTGGTAGCAAAGTTTAAAGCAAAGCCCTCATTAATCTTGAAAGAGCAAACTGGGTTTTAGTTGTACTTGAACCGAATTGCCACGTTGGGAAATGCCCTTGGGATACTTATGATTGCAATGGTTGCTGCTGAGATCACATCAGGTGGTAATTGGTCTCTGAAAGTGATAGTCAAGGACCTCAAAAACCTAGCATTTCCGAGCAAGTAACCAACCAGATCCATGTCATAAGCGTTGCCTTCAAATTTCATAACCTCCGCTTCGCTCAAGTGGCTCTTGATGCAATCATGTTTGTAAACCAACACCCAATCCCTTTCGTTCATCAGTTGCGCCATGGTCGAAGGAACCGCAAACTGAAATAATACATGAAGAGAATAATTAAAACTAATTTGATTAGGTTTTAGTTGTAATAAATTGTTTTTCTTGGAATGAAATTTGGATGTGCGTGAATGTGAGTATGATTCTTGCTAGTTTTGTACATTGGAAAAGCTACTTGTGTGTGGAAGCCACTGGAAGCTGGAACAACACGCAATTAATTTTAAGGAGTTGGATTAAAAAAAAAAAATCCTTCTACAGTAGGCTCTCTTATTGGTAGTACATATTTTTTATTGTTGGATCATGTCAAAATGAGAACAAAATAAAAAAAGTGTACCGAATAGAAAGTTTTTAATACGATTTTAACGATTGAGAATAAAAAATTACTGATAATTTATTTTTTCAAGTCTTACTGCAAAAATCTCCTAAAATGAAATGCAAAAAGAATAAAAAGTATACCTTAAGCTGGAGCTCGAGTGAGACCATGTTCATAATTAGAGTTTCAAAGCAAAATGCTAGATTGAGCACATCTAAGAGAAAGGTCACGTAAGTCATTCCGCTCAAGAGTACTACTGTCTTCACCTTGAATTCCTCTATGAAGCGGATTGTAGGATTAAGACCAATGCTTCTAGGAACAATGATAGTCTTTGCCGCACAAGAAAATAACAATATTGGATATTAGTAGAAACTAAATTAGACATTAATGTGGGAAATATAAAGGGAATTAACTAAATTTAATTTGAATGAGTTATATAAAAGGAACAATGTTACCACTAAAAAATTGTCAACAAATCAAATATCATTATAGCAATCAAACATTTATAACATATCTAAGTGTTGTAAGAAATCAATTATATATCTAGTCGTGATTACAAATATGTTCAACTCTAACCTAAGATCAATTTTTTACATCATGAACTAAATAAATTAAAGATTTATAAAAATGTTATAAGCTTATTATTTTGTTTATCCCCCAAAGTAGGAATAGATCATGATATGAATAATTAATTTGCACAACTATATATATATATATATATACCTCAGCTTCCTCGCTTTCGACGGATATGTATCTTTTGTACTCAAAAACTCTGTAGAAGTTCCACAAACGCTGATCATAAAGATCTTCTGTAAAATAGTCATCCGTTTCCTTTACCAAGCGCAATTTAATAACCACATCATCAGGCATTATCAGTTCCGAGAAATTCAACAGAAAGCCACCATAGCTGAAGAACTCGAGATTCGGAGTGTTAACCGCTGCATGTTCAAGATAAAAGCATGACTCCACAGTCAAGTTCTTCAGAGAAGAACTAGTGAGTCTAATTCTTTCCAACAAAAAACAAGACCTCACAATCAAAGTCTCAAGGAAAGGCCCACTAGTCAGATCAAAGCGCTCCGATTCAAAGTGGACGTTGCCAAGCAGTGCCAGCGTCTTGACATTGTCGAACTGCTTTATGTTCAGGCTGCGTGAAAAGGGGAAAAAGGAGTGGTTCGTCATTGCGAAGCCGCGAAGGGTTTCGTTGTTGAGAAGCATTGTGTCATAGCGGCAATTTTCCATCACAAGGACCTCGAGCCTAGGGTTGAGGTCGAAAGGCACGAGCCCAAAAAAGCAGCAATGGAGCCTGACCGTCTCTAGGGACGGACATGACCTAAGCATCGATCTCAGAGTGAGGTCTTGCATCCTAACATGAGAAAGGATCATGTTTTTGAGAGACTCAAAACCACGACTCCCGTTTGGCGACGAGAATTGCACGATCTCCGACCTCGGGATCACTGCGATTTCGTTGTTGTTTAGATTGTGATTGATGGAAAGAACCCCATGGTAGTAGAAGAAGGAAAGATTTGGAACATCCATCTCTAGCAACATCAAGTCACCCCGGCTGGCCACAACCAAACGCCTCAAACTAGGGTTAAAAACCCTAAGAACCACCATATCGAAACAATGTTCGATGTTCAAGTCCTCTAGTTTAGGGCTATTGGTGATCAACCTTTGGAGCATTTCATCAGAAATTAGAACATATATC